GAATGCCGTGGTCTACAGGAACAGTTTCACTACAGGGAACTCTTTCACTAGGCCGTTGTGCTGATGCCTTACAGACATAGCCTGATGGGATCCCTGACATCCAGCTGTTTCCTTCCTGAGGACCCAGGACTTCTTGCTGCATAGGTTTCCTAACATCTTTCCTCCCTGCTCTGGGAGACTCCAGGCTTATTCTTGCCATCCAAGGTTTCCCAGATGTCTTATTACCACTTACAGATCTCCAAGGTCTCCTGTACTGCAAATGCATCTCCCCAGGGACCATAAGAAGACCATAAGAAGACCATAAGTCTTTTAACAATTCTCTCCTCATCCTTGGCTGTGTACATTCCTTGTCACATGCTTATCTCCCTCTGAGGTCCCTGGCTTAGCACTGCTGTGCACCTCCCTGCCCATGCCCTATGCACTGTGTACAGGATCTCTGGGGCAGCATCCCAATCTTTCTCACAGTCTGCATTCCTCCCTACAGTGGAACAGAAGGGCTGCTGGACCAGGCACGGGAGTGGGAACAGGCTGGGGAACATGCCAAGGCAGTGGACTGCTATCTCAAGGTGCGGGATCCCAGCAACAGTGCCCTGATGGAGAAGTGCTTCCTGAAGGTATACATAGGAGCTACGGTTCCCTTCATCTGCTCTATTGTCTCCTACAACCTGTAGTGCATCCCAGAGATAACTCAGTCACTGCAGGGCACAAGAGAGAATCTGCAGGCTTCAGTGACTGCAGGGTCTGAAAGCCTTTATGGCTATTCTTTTGAGACATTATGGACTGTGTGCTTATCCTGCACTGCACTGAAATCCTTGCGCTGGCACCATTTCCAGGAGCATGCCAGCATCCTTGTGCCCACATCTCTGCACTGAAGAGCTGGACTTTATGACTTAGCCCTTGGCTAGATGAGCACCCTTTCTTCTTCTTATGGTCGATGTTCCACCAGCCTTTGGGATGTGTTCTTGTTCATACTTTTCACTCATACCATTGCCCTTGTACAGACTTCAACAACAATTATGCCCTTGCCTGATCTTCTCCCTTGTGTGAAAGCAGCTGGGCTTCACTGCTCTGAATTGCTGGAGTGTGCTCTCATTTCTTCTCCCCTTCTTCCATAGTTCAAGTGCCTGTAACTTTCAGTCTTTTAGCCAGGATTGAGCTCTTCCCAGCTTCATCCCTCTTTGAACAGCTTTTATCACTTGTGTTACTGACAATTTCTCTTCACAGGCTGCCGAGTTGGCCATTAAATTCTTGGGTCGGTCACAGAGCATGCAGGTGACACGGACTGTGGCTCCTCAGCTGGTGGCCATGAAGAAATACAGTGAGGTGAGGGCTGGCTCCTGCCCCCAGACTACTGAAGAAGCAGTGACATAGTCAGGGAGAGCTCTATGCAAGGGAAGGAGACCAAGTCACATCCTGGGGTAATGGGTGGATGGCTCTATCCAGAGTCAGGCAGTACAGTCTTCAAGGAGAAGAAAGTCCTGGAATACTGGGAGAGAGACAGGCTTTGGGAGGAGACAGGAAGCAGAGAAGGGAGGTTATCTGTTGGGAAGATACTTTCTGTTGTTGCTGTGTGCTGGGCTGCAGAGTGTCATTGAGGATTTCATCTTCCATAAGACTGTCTCTGGCCCTACAGGCAGCTGAACTCTACCTCAGCTTAGACCTCATCCAAGAAGCTATTGATGCCTTCATTGAAGGGGATGAATGGAGCAAAGCCAAGCATGTGGCCAAGGAGTTAGACCCCAGGTATGTCCTGAACTTCTCAAATTATACTCTTCCTGCTTCCTCTCCCAGTCCCAGATGATTCCTTGTCCTGTCCTGTCCTGCTGCCCTCAGGTTCCCTGAATTCTCCTCACAGTGACCTTCCCAGCCTCAACAGGGCCCATTCTCCACAGCTGCCATTCCCAAGCCATTTACCATCCTGACACCACACATCCCATGGAAATTGTTATCCTCTTTTGTCCCATCCGTATCCCTATCTTCCCTTCCCTTGACATAATCCTATGCACGCACTTCCTTCACACATTATATTGCAAAGCGTTGCCTAGACCCTTTCTGCTCCCTTCTACCTAAGCTCCCAGCAGCAGGCTGGAGAGACATGACACAGCTGTAAGTCCTCCTTTCCCATAGTAGACAAAGTTGAATCCAGCATCTGCACTGATGCAAGACACTTACTAATCTTGCTGCCTATTAAGATTCTTTCTGCCTGGTAGGTCAGAGGAGTATGTGGATCAGCGTTACAAGGAGTATTTGAAGAACCAAGGAAAGGTAGATTCAGTAAGTATTTGGGATGTCTCACAAGCTAGGGAGTGATGTCAGGATCTGTCAGGAAAAGCCCTGCAGATCCTTAGGGCCTTTCCAGTGGGGTTTTTGCCTGAATATGCCCACAGATGAGACATCTGTATGTGCCTGTGAGTCATGGTATCTGCATGCCAGATGGGTCATATGGGCTCTGTGCTTCCATACCACCGATGGGGAGGGACTATGTGCACGTGACAAAAAGACCAGGGTGGGCTGATGCCTGCCTTGATGCTAGTAGGAAACCTTGCCTACACAGTGAGCTTATAGTTGTTTTCATCCTAGCTGGTGGGAATAGATGTCATAGCTGCTTTGGATCTGTATGCAGAACAGGAGCAATGGGAGAAGTGCCTGGAGGTTGCAGCTAAGCAGGTGAGTGCCTGTGTGAGCCCTCAGGGGGTGTCAAGGTGGGGCCCAAAGCAAAACCAGGTCTGCTGTGCAGTCTGTCTCTGATTACCTGGTCTTGCCCTTTGGGGCTTAGGTGTATGGGAGTGTGCACACATCTGAAACTGTTCCCACTGAGTGACAAATGTTCAGTTGATGAATCTCATGCTACTGCTTTCTGTGTGTCTTCTCCAGAACTATAAAGTCTTGCACAAGTATATAGCTCTGTATGCAAGCCACCTCATCCGGGAGGGCAGTGGGGACAAAGCCTTGAGCTTGTATGTCCACCATGGAGCACCTGCCAACCCACAGGTAATGAAGACAGCATGACATCCCCATGTGAGTTGCCAGAGTGTGCTATGATCTGCTATGTGAGTCAGGCTTCCAGTCCAGAACTGGGATTGCGAGGTGTTCAACATGTCCAAGCCACTTCAACCGTGCTGTGTGTTCTCACCAGAGGGTCCTCAGCTAGAGGACTAAAGGCAATCTCCTGCTATGTTATCCAGAGGGAAGAAGCAGGAGGGAGCTGAGTATTTGTGTTTTGTTTGAACACCTTTACTACCAGATCCAAAAGGAACCATGTTTGCTTCTCTGAGCACTGGCTGGAGGAAGCATTCTTCCCTGTTTCTCTGCCTTATCCTGCAGCATCCCTTGCAACCAGCAGTCTGCAGCAGGAGCTGCCATTCCCTCAGCCTGTCCCCTCCAGCTCCAGACACTCACTGACTCCCCATCAGGCTCCCTCAAGACTTCTCTCCTTTTTGTTGCAGAATTTCAACATTTACAAGCGTCTCTTTCTGGAGATGGTGAATGCATCTGGCATGAATTGTGCTGAGGCCTACTCCAGCTGGGCTGACCTGCGTGATGTTCTCTTCAGCCTGGTGAGTGTGAGCCATGGCCACCACTGATTGTTAACTTCCAACATCCTGGTGGCTCCTAGTAAGGGAGAAAGAAGAATCAGTCCTTAACCGGGTGACATGGGCAGTATTTGTAGAACACAAGCCAAAGGGAAAGAGGTGACAATGTGGACAGTAGAACAGGATCCTGTGGAGTGACATGGCTGGGCAGGAGAAGTCAGAGAAGATGACCCTGCACTCAAGGCCAAATCCTAGAAGTGGGCCTGGACATTGGCACTTGTGGAGCTCACTGTGTCTCTGCTATGTGGGAGCCTATCACAACGTCTCCGCTTTTTGTCTTACACCCATATTCGGCAGCCTGGGTGAGCAAGGACCTGGGGAAAGCAGACAACTAGTGAGCCTGGAAAATAAGAGTTCTCCCCATCTCCCCAGTGATTCTTAGAACCTTCTATTCCTTCCCTGTCCCAGAATGCCTCAGCCAGAGCCTGTGATTGCCTCTTCTCTGTTTCTGTTCCACAAATACCCACCTCTGGCACAAACAAGATCCCTTGTCCATCCAAAGTCACCCCTGCTTCCAGTGCTGTCTTGTTGCAGTGCTGTTGGTTCTCCCTGTCTCCCACAGCCTCCTCCCTTCAGCACTCTATAGGACTCAGAGCACGCAAGGCCCAGCCCTTTTCTAGTCCCCAGAGGTGCCTGGATCTTTCAGATTCTTCTCTCCCAACTTTTCCCTAGATTTAAATGGATGAAGAGTGCCCTTATGCTCCCATGTTGTCAATCATTCTCTTTTTCACTTCTTCAGTGTGAAAACATAGTCAAGTCAAGTGAAGCAAACACTCCAGCACATGAAGAGTTTGAAACGATGCTGCTGATCTCTCACTACTACGCCACCCGCTCCGCTGCTCAGGGAGTGAAGCAACTGGTAAGGTTTTTGAAGTTCCTTTGCCAGATCATCACCCTGAGTAGAGAACACTGTGGGCACGTGCAGGTTCAGGGTTATTCACGGTTCACTGTTCCACTTCTTCATTTACACATTATGAATGCATGAGAATGGGACTACAGCCATCTGGGAGCCCACCACTAGCAGGTGGAACTGGAGATAGTCTGGGCTCCTTATAGTGGCACCAGCCCCCAGCCACTGAGGCTGAGATGTAAACCAGTAGGAAGCTGATCCATATGCTTGCCATCACTTGTGAGAGGAGAGGCACTAGTAGAAATTTAGGGATCACACAAAAATCTGGTCTTCCCAGGTGAGGCATTGCTTCCTCTTCACCTGTCCTGGGCCATGAGTCACTGTTACGTGGGATGTGGGAGTTTGGGTGTGGCTTCCAGTAAAACATAGCAAGGTTTTGTAAAGCAGAATTTAATCTTCAGGTGACAGTCCTCCTGTGTGTTTACACAGTAAGGGTACTTAGCATCAGGACTGACATTTTCAACCTTTGCTTGTTACGTATCGGGAATACATGGGTGCAAAGTCCCTACCATGCGTCTGGGGCAATATGATCTCATCCAACCTCATTTTTCTGTGCTGAATGCTGTGGCTTTACTGTCCTCTGTGTCTGCAGGATACGGTGGCTGCCAAGCTGTCCATTTCCCTGCTGCGCCACACTGAGCTGCTCCCTGCAGACAAGGCGTTCTATGAAGCTGGAATAGCTGCCAAGGTAAGAGCTGTCTGCCACCAGAGCAGCTAAGGAGGTGGAGGACCCTGGGCCCAGGGTTTCTCAACTTTATCTTCCCCTGTCCTCCCCTACCTGCACGGATAAACCAGTAGCCAGACTCATGCATTGGAAGCCTTTCCTGTAACAGCTTCCCAGCCTATGCATTTTGGCAGTAGGTAGTGGAAGGGCAGACCTCACATAGCAAGGGGACATGAACTGTAGACCAGAGGCAACACTATATTGCATAGCTCTGTTTGTTAGCAATAGATGCAAGGCTTCAAACTGCTTTGGTTTGCTTTGGGTAACCCAAGTGTTCCCTCATTCCTGAGGTGCAGTGACACACAGGAAGCACAGCAACATGTTCTCAGTCTGATGCTGGCTGTGCAATAGTGCCTGACTCCATCTTATGGACTGGTTGTCCCCATGGTTGCTTGTGAAGCAGTGCTCAGGGATGGTGAGCTGCAATGTGCACTCTCCTCCTTACCTGTGCTGCAAGCGGGATGTTGTAGCACAAACAGAACCATATCCTAGCCATCACTCAGGCAGGACAGTCGTGCCTGTGAAGATAAGCTGCCTGGTCTCACTTTGGGTTCCTCTCTGTACTAGGCAGTCAACTGGGAGAACATGGCGTTCATCTTCCTGAATCACTTCCTGGACCTCTCAGATGTGCGTATAGTCTGCTGGAGGGAGGGCTATCTTACTTAAAATGGGCTGTAGGACATTAGACAATGGACCCTCAAGCTGACCGGGGTACTCCTGAGGCTCAAATGTGGCAGCACGTTTGAGCTGGTGCTGGTGAAGAACACTGAATGCTGAGCAGCATCCCCTACAGTAGCTGTGGAAAGACTTGCCATGCAGGGCATCTGAGCAGCCCTAACTGTGTCACCCTGTGTGTGCCAATGCCACCATGCATGCATGCTGCAGCAAGGAGTAAATCATCCTGACAGTTTAGGCCTGTAGTCTTCATGGCTGTAGGTACCATTACAGCTTTCAGAATGATCTCACCCAAGTTGTTCCAAGGGAAAGAAATTACCTGAGGGGTGGAGGGCATGGTCCAATGCTTTAGCCACTGTGATACAAACTCAGGAATCCCCCATGCCAGTCAGCTCCTTCCTTGGCTAGCAGGTTGGTCACCAGAAAACACCAAACCCCAGAAGCTGTCAGACTTTACAGTACGAGTCTTCCAAGTGCTGTCAGCAGCTGCTGGGGATAAAAAAATCTTCCCATTTCATCTTTCCCTTCTTCAAGGCCACCTGACAAGTACTGTGTGTCAGGGGCACACATTCTGTGACACTGCAGAAGGTGGCCATAAATGCCACCTCCCAGGAGGGCCCAGTCACCACAGCACTAATAGATGGGGCATCAGTAATGCCATCCTCCCAGTGTAGATGGTACTCTGAACACCAAGGATGGCATTGCCTAGTGCTCCACCACTCATCCTTTCTCAGGCCATTGAAGATGGGAACCTGGATTCTCTGGACCACTCTGACTTCCGAAACACAGACATTCCCTTCGAAGTGCCACTTCCAGCACAACAGCATGTGCCTGTGAGTGTCGTTTGCCTTCCTCAGCTCCCATGAACAATGATGCTGCTTTCAGGGCCCTTTGAACAGAGACTTGGGCAAGGCTGGGACAGCTGTCACTACAGGAGATGGAAATGTACTCAGTGCTGTCCCCCTGCCCTGTGCCCCCAAGTACGCAGTGTGTGTGCTGCTCTCCCTAGTGCTGCACAGAGAAGCACCTGGATGATGGCACAGCATGCAGTATCTCGTCTGCCCACAGGACGAGAAGCGGGAGGAGGTCAGGGACTGGGTGCTCACCATGTCCATGGACCAGCGGCTGGAGCAGGTACTGCCACAGGATGAGCGGGACACCTATGAAGCCTCTTTAGTGGCAGCAAACACAGGGGTACGCTCCCTGCCCTGTGTGCTTACAGGTAAGCTCCAGCCGAGCTCACACGTATGGAAGGGAATATGGTGACATGTGGGGAGTGGGAACATGTTGTGAGGGGGTAGTGTGGGGTGTGTGTCTGGGAGGGAGTTGCTGGAAGAGGAAGAGGGAGATTGTGGGGCTGTGGGGAGCTGTTCTGCTGGAGGAGATGGAAGGATCCTGCTGTGTGAGAAAGGGCTAACTGGGTTTGTTCAGCCTTGAGAAAAGAAGGCTCAGGGGACACCTTATCCCCATGTTCCAGTACTTAAAGGGTGGTTACAACGAGGATGGAGACTCCCTCTTTACAAGGAGACACATGAGAAAGATGAGGGGTCATGGGCACAACTTACTCCTGGGAAGATTTTCCTCTTGGACACAAAGAAAGTTTATCACAATGAGAACAATCAGTGATTGGAATAACGGGAAGTGGTGGACTCCCCAACACTGGACACTTAAGATTTGATTGGACAGGGTGCTGGGACATACAGTCTAGCTCATGGTTTGCCTAGAAAGGCTGGACCAGATGATCCTTGAGGTCCCTTCCAACCTGGGATTCTATGTTTTTTTATTGTGAGGGTGATGGAGCACTGGAACATAATTGCACAGAGGTTGTGGCATTTCCATACTTGGAGATAGCTGAAAGCCATCTGGACACGGTCCTGGACAACTAGCTGTGGGTGGCCCTGCTCAAGCAGGGGCATTGAACCATATATAGACCTGAGATCACCTCCAACCTCAACTGTTCTGTGTCTCTATGACACTGTGACCCCTTAGTATGGCACAGCACTGCCTAGGAGACTGGCTAGCACTGGCACACATGTGCACATGCAGCTCCTCTCCCGCTTTGCCCTCACTCCACAAAAGCTGTCTATTCCAGCAGGTACTGTCCCCACTTGCACGCTTCAGCAAGGGATTGTAGTGCAGGACTTTCAGAGCGGGTTCAGTGAAGAGGGGAGCAGGGCTGGGCTACCACCAACAGGGATCTGGCTCTCAAGTTTGGGAGGTGGGATGCTATCACTTGACATGCTCACTTGGGTGACCTTGCCAGAGAACAGTTCAGCCTTCATGTTCATTTGACCCTGCCACTGTGGACACTCCCTGATTCTGGTCTCTAAAAGGCAGAGGTGGCATTGTGCCCCTGCTCTGCCTGGTGGGAGCAGCCCTCACCAGCTGGCCAGGACAGAGAGGGAAAGGATGCCCAAGGTAGGGGTCCGCTGCAGGTCTCTGTTTCTGAAGGTGTCCCTGTGTGACCAGGGTACCCTGTGCTAAGAAACAAGATAGACTTCAAGCGGCCAGGCCGAGAAGCCAACAAGGACACGTGGAACAAGTTCCTGATGGCTGTCAAGGTAAGCCAGGCACCCCCTGGGGCAGGGAGACAGGCTGCAGGGTGTTCAACTTGTCGTGCTAACAGTAAAACATTGTCCCACTGGGTGAAGATATGCTGACTGGGGCAGTTTTTAATGCACCCTCCCTGTATGCTGCTGGGTGGGGATTAACTTCACTTACAGTGCTGGGGCAGGGCCAGCCCGGCCTGTGCAGCTCTGTCAGCCCCCAGGGGTGCCCTTGGGTGGGGAGTGATGGCAGTGTCCCCTTGCCAGTGCCAAGGCCTCTTTCATTCTGCAGACATCCCACAGCCCTGCGTGCCAAGATGTGCTCAAGTTCCTCAGCCAGTGGTGTGGGGGACTCCCAAGCACCAGCTTCTCTTTCCAATGAACTGGACCTTGGTGGCTTTCAGTCCTGTTTTTCAACACCCTCCACTTCCACCCTCAATAAATATGTCTCTTAACACTGCTGTGCTCCTGTTTGTCAAGGGATGCAGTGCCCAGGAACACAGATAACTCCCAGAGCACAGAGCCATAACCCTGTACACATGCATGTCTCAGCCTCAACCTAGCTATGCACCGTCCGCCCTGATGGTCACACTGCGACCTGTCTACATGCCTGTGCCTGGTGGGGGGGTGACCATGGGGATGGGCTTACATCCCAGCTGCATTGTCTTTCCATCAGAGGCCCAACAGTCATCTCCCCCGGGAAGCCACTTAGAGCACTAAGTATGAAAGTTTATTTACTCAGGGAAACAACAGAGGCTCACAACAAAGGGATTCTTCACCTTCCGTTCCTTGGTCTGCCTGAGCACAGGTGCAGCAAGCTGACCCTGCTTGCTCTGCAGCAGGGCCACCAGGACCCTGCCTGTTGCACCTCTGCCTGTCCCCATCACTGCATGTAAGAGACTGATGGAGCCTCCAGTGTGCCCAGAAGGGACCTGCAGCTTGGGGACAGAAGGGGACAGCGTCTGAGGTGCACAGCACCTGCCGGGCAAAGCCTGCCTGGTGACCATGGCCAGCTTGTGTCTGGAA